ATTCTGGGAATGTCAATTTATGGTTATTCACTGTAAATTATACGGTCTTTTTCACTTCCAAAAACGGTATACTACCGTAAAATTACATGTAATTTCCAATACCGTTTTTCACCGTATATAGTAGGGGAATTTACCGTTAACCATTTAACAGGTTTTTACTATAGCATTTTTACAGTCTTTTACCGTTAAATTCACGGTAATTTTTTACAGTGTAGTGTTAGTCATGTGATCAATCCTCTGGCACTGAAGTATTAAAGGTCAGAGCAGCTTCACTTCATTAAGTGATCAGGTCATTACTATTTTAGCATCACTGATATACTATTATAGTTTTTGTTAATAAATTAGATTTTATTTTTATATTTTCATTTTAATTTTAGTTAGGTTTTAGTAATTTCGCTGTGTGTTTTTACCATTAGTTGTTGATTTATTTTTTTTTTACATATGTCTATCCACCTTATTTTTGCCATAAGAGTGGCATTTGTACATTTTATGGGTCTGGCTTCCGGTCTCATCCGCATCCAGCTATTTTTAGCTGTACAAAACAGCTCGTTTTGCTGCTTGATATTGCAAATTGGTGTGTCTTACCATATTATTTTAATGTATTATCTTAATTATGAACACACTGGTTTGTAGTGCACGTTTACTTCACGTTGTTATTCTTCTCGTTATTTCCCTATAGCGGCTAATGAACCGGAAGTCTCGCCCATAGGCTTACTTGGTTTAATTAACCCTGGACCAGATGCGCCATTTCCACCTGTTGGGCCATTAAAAGAAAAAAGAAAACCCACAGACACATATTGAGTTATCAACAACCTATAGCAACCACCTAAAATACCTTAGCAACCATCTAGCAACACCCTAGAAAACACCCAAATACCTTAGCAACCACAGAAATGCCAGAAAGGCATGGACAGATATTTAATGTTTCAAAATATTTAATGTTTCTGCTCTTTTCTTTCCTGCTCTCATCGTTCTCTTCCTCTTCTATTGGTTCTTCTCTCTCCTGTCCCTCTCTTCCTTATCCTTTATTTAATGACTGATTTGAACTGTTGCCCCTGGCAACAAGCATCCTTGTTTACCTACGGTCAGAATGATGATGATGTGGTCAGCATGCCGCCATGACAACAGAGGCTGTTGGCTGTGTTACCATGGCAATGTGGAGTGTCACTGTGTTACAGAAATAACGAATAGTAAATGTTCCAGAAATGTTAATGTAATGATGGTGCAGGCGGTGCAACTAAAAATGTCTTGTATGTTGAAGTTGTAGATCAGTATTTCTCAATCATGGTCCAGAGGCCCTCGGCTTCCCTCATGTTTCTCATTGTGAACTTTTCTCTCTCTCCCTCATTTCTCATTCACGTCTTCACTGTGTTGTCTATCTGGAATTTGTCCTTCACAGTTTCTCAGTCCTCCTGTATTCTCAGTATCTCTATCTCTCTCCATGACTAAGCACATCGCTGCGCTCGTGACATTTTACAAATGAGCTTCGTGACTCTCCAGGAAACTAGAGCGTCTTTCTCGCTCTCTCTCTCTTGCTTTCACTCCTATACAGTTAAAAAGGTTTGTAATTTCATCAGAAAAGCATGTGGAATACTATTGAAACCTGTTAACTCTAAGTTACCTTGCCATATGTAGTAGGCCATATTGCAAGAATTGTATTAGGTTTATCAGGACAATATATATGAATATGTATATTCAGGCTTAAAAATTATGTATTTTGGAAGTAAAAAGCATGAGCATGAATTATATTCATAAGACAATATGTGCAGTAAAAATAAAACATAAAATGTTAAATATGTTTTTAAGGTAAAAAATACAAGCCATAGTGCAGTGGAAAAAAGAGATGAGTGTATTTTTTCAATTGTTATTTTTCTTATTTTTTGTTGCCGATTATGCATGTTTTATGTTACATGTTGTATTGTTACACCTGTATTATTATGGTGGTTATCAGTGTACTGTAAGCAGATTTTAGTAGGTTATTAATGATTCATAATAATCTTCCTGATCAAGAACCCAACACTTGTCGGTATAGTAAATGAACAGGACAGATCACATGCAGCGCTTCTATTAATGCAAACATTTATCAGTGAATGGGGAGCTAAAATCTACTATACAGAGAAACTCCAGCCTCACTGTGCTTTTTTCATATGCATTTTTCATGTTACATCCATATAAATAATGTTTATTATTATGTATGTCTGATTTATGCACACACTGTCAACAGATAAAACAGCATTTAATTTGATCACTATAGCTGATTTTTAATACATTTAAAGAATGCTTTGTATTAGTCTTCATCTTTCTCTGTATTTTCTTTAAATCTCATTTATGTCAAGAACTCTCTGTTTTGTTTTGTTTAGTTTTTTTCATTATGTATTACAGTCTTTATGTTTTACTGTTGAGCCTATTATTTGTTTAGTCAAGTATTAGTTGACTAAACATCTGGGAATTTTAGTATAGCTTTAGTCAGTTTAAAAAAAAAATGTCACATGTTTTGTCATGCTGCACAATAGTTAAACTGATAATCACAATAATTGTGCTCAAAATTTTAATTGCGCTTGCTGATCATCATTGTTGTCATTGGAGGAATTACAACAGACTCAAAATTATTGCACTTTCACCTATAAGCACAAATCTAAAGAATCGCAACACTTACGCGTGCTTTATTTTACCTCATCTAGTATCCTGATTTATTATATTATCAGAATTTTAAGCACAGTCTCTACATTATGAAAACTGATAAAACTCAAAAGCTTCTCTCAAAAGCTAAAACAGTGACATTCCCAATATTAATTCCAAATTATATTCATGTCCTTCTATTACAACAACTGTCTGTTGGATTACAGATATTAAGTAATGTATTCAGACTACTTTTCAATTATTTTTGACAAGAAAAGAATTAGGGCAAATAAATACAGTATGAATAATTTACAGTAACTGTAACTAATCTGATTATGAGTATTTAAAAATGTAATATAATCAAATTACAAATACTTAATTTTGGGAATCTGATTACGTAATCCAGATTAGTACAGAGCACTGACAAGAACACAAAAAAAGTATTGTGTATTGTGGCCCAGAGGTTTGAGCCGAATATCTCAATGCAGATCATTAAACTCACATGTTTGCCAATGTTTAGATAATCAGCATGTGCGGATGTTGAATCTGTGCAATTCGCTCCTTTTTTCTGAAAGGTGTTTTTTTTCATCCTAGAAAACAAGGGAGTGCTTTTCTGGTGTAACCGAGGTTTCAAATTTGGTGTGGAGGTTAGAGAAGTAGGTTTGTTCGGTGCAGTCAGGGTGGTATAGCTAACATGCTTGGATGATCTGTGGTTAGCCAGCATCGTGTGCTGATCTACACACCCCTCCCCACACTTGTGTGTGTGTGTGAAAAGCGCTATATAAATAAAGGTGACTTGACTTGACTTGACACACTTTAGTTGGTAGTGTGGCCTGACTGCCACAGCTTTTTACTTTATTTCATGTTTTACTCTTGTTCTCTCAAAAACACATTTCGGACATTGTAAGTGGAGTTAAACTATGTGTATGAAAGTATGTTAATTTCTTTAGCAGTTACGTGTGTAACAGCAATAACAAGTTAACAGATTAAATAAAAATGTAAAATAACATGCAGTATTTTGCTAATTAATGTATAAGTTTTGTCTGGGAAGACTCGAATTTTAAAACCCAAATTAAAATGAATTTGTTGTTAACATACTGTATTGTATCATTAAAAAGCACGGCTTGTTTTTGACATCTTTCCCTCAGCAGGGTGGAGTTTTTTGCGGTTTTGTATTACATTTACTGACAGAAAGAAACTGACTGCTGGTCTGGTATAAATAACAGCCCTATTAAACATACGGTTAACACCTTTAGAGGAACCAGCAACCAGTTTAAAGTTCTCATGAGTAAGTGAATGCCAGTCTCTGCAAATGGTGCAAGAGAGGGGGGGGAAAAGAAGAAGTGTGCATGAGCATTTTTTAATCCAAAAGACCTCACTGGTGTGTGATTACTTTTCTTGCGCAAATTTCTATACTAAGCAAATTGCTTGTGCAAGGATTCTGCTTTCCTATAAAACAATAACAACGTGTGAGCTTTTAGTGCTCTTGTTGGGTGTGTGTAGAAAGAGACAGAAAGCTCAGTGTTGTTTTGAATTGATGTGCCAGGTTGCAACGGTCAAGTAAAACACAGGGCAGAAAATGTGTCCTTTTAAGAGAGAAGCTCAGATTGGGGGATTTAAACTTTGACATCTGGCAACTCCAAGCATGAAAACTTGTGGAGGCCTAAATGTTCCCTTTCAGTTGGTCACTCTCGACGAATTGGGATCTCGCCAGAGAGACCAATCCACTTCGAGTGTAACTAAACGAGCCAATGGACATTGGCATGCGGATTTCACATCTGGCTGCCACACCCCGCAGGGCGGGTATAAGAGGCAGCAGGTGCACCGCATTAATTCATCTTTTCGCCTCGGAGCCGAGCGGTGGTGCAGCACTACTGCTCTTCCCTCCTTCGAGTGATTGCAGGAACGAGTGCGGGCGTTACGGCACAGCAGAGGTGGTCTCACGGGAGAAAAAAAAAGAAAAAATATCATCTTTGTGCAGACAGCCACACCAGGAGTGTGCGGTGGCCAGCTCCCCTGCGTGCTTCAGCACTAAGAGAGCAATCTCTAAAAGAGCAACACGGGTGATCGCGTCTTTTTAAAGATGTCTTATCACCCGTGCGTTTCTGGATGCGGTTGTTTCCTGGTGCCTCAGGACGGTCACGATCGCCGCCTCATGTGTCTGGGCATTAAGCACGCTTAGGAAGCATTCGTGGATGGTGCATGTTCTGTTTGTGGGGACATGACCATCTCGGAGTTGCATAAAAGACTCCGCTATGTCAAACATGGTGGAGTCCCTCTGCCTCTGCCACGATCCAGCGTTCGTCCCGGCACCCGGGGCGGCGCTGCATCCGGAGGAGTCAGAGGTGATTTGAGGATCACGGTGAGGGCTTCCCCAGAGGGAGTTCCTCACCCCTCAAGCACTCCGCAGCCGGTGGAGTTGCCGACGGAGCAGGCTGGGCCCTCTGCAGGACAGAGTGCACCAACCGTATCCCTCGGTGCCCCATCTGACGACCAGATGTTGATCGCTGCATCGGAGGGCGAGCTCTCTCTCTCTCCGGGGATGCCGACCTGGCTGCGTTGCCCCCTTTGGGTGTAGCGTTGTCCGAGCCAGAACCAGAGATGACGGCTATGCTTTCCCGTGCCGCCGAGAATGTCAGGCTCCTGTGGAATCCTCCACCGTGTCTCAATCCTTCGAGGCTGGACGAATGGTTTCTCGGTGGGGGTCGCGCTGGTTCTCAGCACCCCCCCCTCCGGTGCCATTCTTCCCGGAAGTGCATGAGGAGCTCACGAGATCGTGGAAGGCACCTTTTACTGCCCGAAACAAATATTGTGGCTCCTCCGCCCTCGCCACCCTCGATGGTGGGGCCGCTTTGAGGTACACGGGCATCCCCTCGATAGAGCGGTCTGTGGCCATGCAACTGTGTCCAGCCTACCACTCTGCGAGGTGACCCGTGTCTCCCCTCGCGGGCCTGTAAGTCTTCGTCAGGTCTAACTGGCAGTGCTTACAGAGCTTTTGGAGAGGCGGCTTCTGCCCTCCATGCCATGGCGTTACTGCAGGTCCACCAGGCCAAAGCCCTGAAAGACCTGCACGAGGGTGGTCACGACCTGGCGGTTCTACATGAACTGTGTGCTGCGACAGACCTCGCACTTCGAGCGACGAAGGTGACCGCACAGTCTCTGGGTTGTGCGATGTCCACGCTAGTGGTCCAGGAGCGCCATCTCTGGCCTAGTCTGGCCGACATGAAGGAGCATGAGAAGGTACAGTTCCTGAATGCTCCCGTGTCACAGACCGGCCTCTTCGGCGACGCTGTCGAGAGCTTTGCCCAGCAGTTCTCGGCAGCACAGAAGCAGACTGAGGCGATTAAACACATCATGCGCCGGTGGAAACCTGCTGCTTCCACCCGGCCGCAGCCTCTCAGCCTGCTCATCGCCGTGGGCACCCCCTGCATCCGCCCCCGCTCCCACGCAGCCACAGCAGCCTTCCACCAGGCAGCGTCGTGGAGCCGGTCGCAGGCAAACCTGGCGGCAAGCGCAAGTGCAAGAGGCCCTGAGACGGGCGACCCGGAGATGGAGGAGACTGCTCACCGGGAGATGATTACCACACCACTCCCTCCCCCGGAGGAGGGCCGGGTGGAGAATCTTTTGTTTCGTTTTGTTTTTGTTCCACCGCTGGCCCAGCAGCCAGCGGTACCCAAAACTTCTACAAAAGAGCGGTTTCCTCAGTCTCTGGGTCTCAAGAGGAAGATAGTGGTGAAACGTGCATCACGGGATCACTTCCCTCCTCCTCTCTCACCAGCGGGCAGCAGTGGGTTGCCCAAGAGCACCCCTCCTGCCCATTTGTGGAACCAGGTAAGGGCTGTAGCACTCGAGTCTCCGCTTCATGTCGTCACACCACTGACGGCAAGCCGGGCTCACATTAAGCATTAATGCAAAGTGAGTGACCACAGATTGCTATGTGCTGTTTTATATGAAACAGTGATACCAAAATAATAAACTGGCATGGAAAAAACTGGTGTAATAGTCATCAAGGTTATGTAAAAACATGAGGTATGTACTTGTACGTTGCATGAATAGAGTCTGTATATTTTGTAATTTAAATTATTTTTATTCATTTTTGTTTTTTCAGATGAATCGGCCCATTCAAGTGAAGCCTGCAGACAGTGAGGGGAGAGGAGGTAAATCATCTGTTATTCGCATCTTTATTTGGGTTATTTTAAAGATTTTGACTCTGTGAGATCTTTTGCTCACTAGGGCTGCATTCAGTTGATCAATAATATAGTAAAAAGCAGTAAAATTGTGAAATATTATTACAATTTAAAATAACTGATAAAAAATGCTAAAAAAATCTATCATCGTTCCTGTGCCAAAAAACAACAATCCATCTTGCCTAAATGACTATCGACATTGTGGCACTCACATCACTAATTATGAAGGTCTTTGAGAGGCTTATCAAGAACACCATCTGCTCCTCTATCCCTAACAACATTGACCCACTCCAGTTCGCCCAGTATCGCCATAATAGGTCTACTGAAGATGCTGTCTCCCATCTTCTGCACGCCACTCTCACCCACACCGACAGCAATAAAGGGAATTATGTGAGGCTGCTGTTTATAGATTATAGCTCAGCCTTCAACACTATACTATTGTTTCCCCCACAATCTGGTCTCCAAGCTCCGAAACCTCGGACTGAATGCCCCACTCTGTGACTGGGTTCTTGATTTTCTATCATGCAGACCTCAGGTAGTGAAGGTGGGTCAGACCACCTCCAACTAGAGATCTGCACGGGACGGATTTTTCACGCGCCCGCCCGCTTCCGCAGAAACATATCTTATCTGGTCCCGCTCCCGCCCGCGACATTCATGTTTTGTCCCGCTCCCGCCCGCAAAAGCACCACTGTTATTTTTAACAGAAAAGCAAGCATGGGCTGCTGCGTGCATGGTTTGGCATACCAGAATGCGAGCAGCACTTCCTTTATTATCACTAAAAGCTGACATATCAGTTAATCTCTATCTCATAAAGCTCTGTCCCATCAAAAGTTGTCCCGCACCGCACCCTGTTGCGTTGGGTCCCGTGGTACTCCCGCGGGAGTGCAGGTCTCTACCTCCAACATCATCACCCTGAGTACAGGAGCCCCACACGGATGTGTTTTGAGCCTGCTGCTATACTCCCTCTCACACCTCCACTTCTATCATCAAGTTTGCGGATGATACAGTGGTGATGGGCCTCATCTCCAACAACAATGAGGCTGCCTACCTTGATGAGGTAGAGAGACTGACATCATGGTGCCGATCAAACTGTCTCTTTCTGAATGTCAGCAAAACCAAGGAGCTGGTTGTGGACTTCAGGAGGAGGCAGCAACGGATCTACACCCCACTCATCATTAACGGGACTCCAGTGGAGAGAGTGAGCAGCTCCAAATACCTTGGGGTACACATCTCCGAGGACCTGACCTGGACTAATCACATTCAATATGTGCTTAGGCTATAGAAAGTATATTGACTTTTCATCGTGGTATGGAAACAGCTCAGCCCAGGATCGTAAAGCTCTGCGCTCAGCTGAGCGTATCTCCAGAACAGATCTCCCCTCTCTGCAAGACATCCACACCAGGAGATGTAAAGCTAGGGCTGTTAAGATCCTCAAAGACTCCACCCACCCTGGAAATCCACTGTTTCATCTGCTACAATCAGGCAGGCTAATACATCCTTGTTCTGTCAGCATTAGAAAAAATTTTTTTAAATGTAACTAAATTAAGGCACTACTGAAAAAATATTTTAATGAGACATTTCAACTACTACAAGTAACTACTACAAGTAACACACTTAACTAATATAGACAGAACTAATACAAGCTGTGTACACATTAAACAGAAAAAAATGCATATAGTAAAAAACAGAAAATACATGGAACTACAAAGGTCACAGTGAAAGTGTTCTGAGTGAAAAAAGTGCTCTCAAGTCTCTTCCTTCATGAGGTTTTGGTTAGACTGTCAGCTTTTAAAAGTACAAAGCATTCAATAAATTAACAGGGGAAAGGCTATTGTTGTTAGTTTTCAAATGTGAAAGAGAAATTAAGCGTTAGCGTTAGTTCTGGCAGGTCACGTGAGTCAAGCTTGCATCAGCTGATCACATCTACCTATAGGAATACGACACCTATCGCGGCATTCCTATATAAACTCTATTCAGTATTATTCAGCAGCTTTTCAGCTTGCTCCGGAGCAAATTACCCTCCTCCATCCCCAGCTCCTCCTTTCGCCACAGTCAGGACTTGGCTTTCTGATATTCCTTGCTAATCAGACTCCTTTATCTTGAATAAAGTGTTACACTTAAATATCATTAAGTACATTAATGATACCTGCCTTGTTCTGTTCTGTTAACCCTAGGGGGGTTATTATTGCTGCTCTCCCTGCTCATTCATGACAGGCTGCATGGATGGGCAGGGAGGTTTTTGCCCAGAACAGAACCATACCGCCAAACCAAACTTTATGCTAAGTATCTATCATTTTGACGATAGTGGTCCTGACAGAAATAGATATTTTTGGTCTGAAAGCTTCCCTTCCATTTTTTTCTCTCTCTAAAATGAAAAGGAAGCACAATGAACTAGATTACCCAAAAGCCAAAATAAAAGACTAAAAGATGTAAGCATCAACTATGTACCTATTATATCAAGGGGCTGTTTATTGCTTGATTCTGATTCTTTGACAAACTTTCTAAGGAGTGCAATTATTATTTTCCAGTAAGCACACAGCTATGAAGTAGTTCTAGGTCTGTCGTTACAGTTTCACTTCACTTCACCAAATAATTTATTTTAAAGTCCTTGCAACCGCAAATATAGCAAAACAATTTCCATGCGTTTCCTATGAAATTACACGTCCCTCACACACACACTGAAACACACATGGAAACCGTCGCCAATTGACCTATCGGTAAGCCCCTCCCCTCGAACGCAGATGAGCCAATGGCAGTCGAGTATCAGTTGCACGGGGAGCGGAACTCGGACACCTGTAGGTTTCAGCGCCATGGAGAAACATTGGAAGTTATTAAGCTCGCATCGTTTTTATGGGGTTAATGCTTCAAAAATGGAAAAACGATGCGCCTGGGGTACTTGTAACACTGATTCCAGGTATCCTGAGAGGATGGGCAATACAATTTATTTTATTACATTTCCTAAACCCAAACAAAACAGAGCAAAATGTCCCTAAGCATTCAACCCCAATCCC